GATGGATGAATTTAATACCTGAGATAAGTGTACGGGTTTTTATAGGCGCAGTCTGGAAACTTTCCGATCGCACCTCGTATTGACAAGTATGTGCTACATTCTCGGACATAAATAATGTATTTATCTCATGATTATTCAATATTATCCTCAGTTTCCAGTTTCGTAAGACACTCAGCGACTGTGTGTTACGAATATCATGGATATTAAATATTTTCATAACAATTCGACTGAAGGGGCTATTGTTAATCTACATTGTCCACAGTAACTTACGTAAGACAAATGAGATGTGAACCACATTTTCTGAAGGATCGAAAAATAGTAGTGGGCTTTTTAATTACCTGTAAAATACAATTAATTTTATACGAACCTAAGCAAGTTTATTCCAAACATAAAATTATCGCCTTTATGTAGTACTAAAATGAATGTGGCGACACACACTCGATTAAAATTCATGAAAGATGGCTGCTTGATTTTTATCATACTGTTTATGGTTATTTTTTATTTATGCACGACTAGTCATATAATTATCTGTTTAGAATGTGCTGCCACCACTAGGTAGTTTTAGAAGTACCTCTAAAGGAGATGCTGGTACGAAAGGAAATCATAAAAAGGGATGAAATACGTTAAGAGTTGAAGATAAGGGAAAAAGGATAATTCCTTGTTTCGATTAAGTTAGATATGTAACAGTGACATTTGGAAACTTCTAAGGCTGGAGTTCTCAACCTTTTTAACTGGCGTACCACTAATTCTACACTAAATTTACTACTAATCAAATAAATCTCTTCTTATTACGCCGTCTTCTTGCAAAGGTTGGAGATACAAATGGCCAGCGTAATTTTGTCAGCCATTAAGATAATTCGGAAAAAATAGTACAGTAGAAGTTCAGGTTTATTTCTGTGCCGCAGTGCGGAAGACGTTTGGGCTGTTACAGCTGTACTTTCCGGTACTCAATACTACGCCGCTTCGGAGTCATTCTTCCACGACGTTGTTTGATTCTGGTGAAACTGCTGCCCTCCACCAGTGCTAGATTTTGGTCCGTCCCGAGTATTTAATTTCCTCGGTACCACCCATATCTGGGAGGCTTTCCCCGATCCGCCAGATGGAAGATCTAGCAAACCTCACACGGAAAATTTATTTATATTAATATTATCTTTTGATTTTCTTACCTAGTTCGCGTACAATTCAACATTGGTTGTATACCACCAATGGTACGCGTACCACAGGTTGAGAATGGCTGTTCTAAGGTTTTCGACAAAGAAAGCTTTCCATTTTTCGTGAAAAGTAGAAATTAAAATTTATATAATAAAATTTCCTTGGTTTCTTTGTTTCAAACTTTGTTAGCCCTCATTTTATATATATATATATATATATAAGTTTTATAAAACAAAAGATGGCAGTACGATCTACCGTTGTGAACAAAGGGAAAAGCACGTTTTATTCGGGCTCTTGTACTATTTCTAATGAGCCTTCCGTTTGTATTAATGGAGGGAAATGTTTTAGTGCCAAACTACGTAACTAACTCCCTGGTAGCAGAACCTTCAGGGTCCAATACCAAAGCCCGCCACCGGACACGATTCTCAGCCAACTCCATTCATTTACCATCCTCACAGCCCACCTCTCTATGATCCGTCTTGATGTTATCCTCCCATCTCCTTCTTGGTCTTCCCAGCGGTAGTTTTCCAGAAGGATTCCCTACCAAAATTCTGTATGCAACCTTTGCCTCTCCCTATCCATGCGTGCTATATGTCTAGTCCATCGGATCTTCCTAGATTTCATTATCCTCACTATGATTAGTGATCTGTCCAATTCACGCAGCTCCTCGTTAAACAATATCTCTTTCACGTAAAGGAAGGAAATAGATTGTGGGTCTTTGAGGATAAAATGCTGAGAGAAAATATTATAATACTTTGAGGAATAATTTAAACTTATCTTAGAGAAATGAAATTCAAATGGCTCCGAATATAATCCAGTAGTTGGCCTTTCTTAACACGTAATTAAACATCGGAGGCTGATTTCATAATCAGATGAGCAACTGGTAGCTTCTTAAGGAAGACTATATACTCCATATTAATATGCTATCACGAATCTGAACTGATTATACAGAAGATTAAAGGCAGCGCCTTGTTTTTACATCAATTCCAGTTTTAAATTTCGTAATACGTGTGATTTGGATAACGTTTCTATCAATAC